TTATTTATGCAAAGATAGCATACTGTAAAACAAGTTACAACCCATTTCTGAAAAAGTACAGATCACAATGTATAATAATTAGGCTACATCAATAAAAACTCAATAGTTTTGCCTTAACAGAAATACATTCCAAGCAACATCCTATCACTAAAACATCAGACCAGTAAATACACTTTGAAAGCCTTCACTTAGACGCAATATCACTTTACTGATATGCTTTGGAAGCATTCAACAAAATGCAGCATTAGTTAAGTAAACCCGTGACCATATATCGGAATATGGCCTCTGAGCAAATACACGTTGACAACATTCACTTATATGCAACATAAGCTAAACATTCTCTGGAAGAACACATGCTCATCTCCAACAACAGTTCAGTAGAATCACTATGAACACTTTCACTGAACCACAAAGTCGGTGTCCACCACACGCTGTCGGCTTCAAGTCTCTCAAGTTGGCATGTCCGCCACCAAATCAAGGTCTCCACTATCAACCTTGTTTTCGTGAGCTATCTCCTGCATCAAGCACAGGTTCGTAGTAATTGTAATAACAAATGAAATATATAACGTCAGCACCAGAGAATAATCAGTCTGCGTTATCATAGATAACTCCATCAGTGGTAAAAGGTAAAGTTGATCACACAATATCAGCGGTGACATCAGGAGTTTGTGAAATCGGAAGATATTTCCCGCAAGATACATTTTGCGCACTGAATAGTACGCGTTTGTTTCTTGTCTCTCAGAACCTATCCTGCTTGCTTAACATATGTTTACGTAGAGAATGGTTTCCAGGTAACTTGATAATGCGTAAGTACAGTATAGGTGTTTCAAAGTACAGAAGTACAGTATAGGTAGTTTCATCGTACAAAAGTACAGTATAGGTAGATTCAAAGTACAGAAGTACAGTATAGATAGCTTCATCGTACATAAGTACAGTATAGGTAGTTTCATAGTACATAAGTACAGTATAGGTAGCTTCATCGTACATAAGTACAGTATAGGTAGATTCAAAGTACATAAGTACAGTATAGGTAGCTTCATCGTACATAAGTACAGTATAGGTAGTTTCATAGTACATAAATACAGTATAAATAGTTCTATAATGCGTAAGTACAGTATAGGTAGCTTCATAGTACAAAAGTACAGTATAGGTAGCTTCATACTACGCAAGTACAGTGTTTCTTTGATCACATTGTCAAATATCATGCTGTTCACAGATATGTAAAGTGGTCAAACTAATCTTGTATAGGAAGTGTTGCATGCTGCACAAGTCTGTTGATAAAAGTTTAATTATTGGCAAATAAAGTATGGAAGGAGGACCAGAAGTTGAAGAATTTGGCATAAATGCAATTAGAAAAAACTATCATTTTTGTTTCTTCATAATATTAAGTTATTTCTGCTTTAATATATCTAATATTCAGAGTTTGCTTTTTTCTGCCTTTTCTGTAAATAGCATCTTTTACCACCAAAATTACAGCATTCAGTGGATTATTGTGTTTGGCTTTGAATCCAAATAAAATATTCTCCGGTGAAAAATTAACTTCACCTCCCGAAGCAGTTTTAAGCCATATCTTTTTCACATAAAAGCATTCAAACAGCAGGTGCATTATGGTCTCTGGATCTTGTCCACAGAATGATATTCCTATCATGTACAAAAAGCTATTTGTTGCTAAAATATTATTTTAGATTGGAACCATCTCATATTCATAGTCTCAGTACATCTATAAGACATCAGATTAATATTTTCTTGTTCTGATCTATCAATTTTTCTATTCAAACACTTTTCACGTTTTTCTTGTGCATCTGTACTGAATTCTGGAGCAAATAATATCTGATAAAACACTTAACTACCCTTTTGTATATTGATTATGTTGTATACATTAAATGGGAGAGTAGGGTCATATATCCTTTCTTGGTAATCATGTATTAATTATATATCTCTTTTAATATATCTCACTACTGTTGACTTGATCTCTTGATATAAGATAAAATTTGTTTCTAAACTGTATGGTTCTACAAGTTTGTTAAAAGAATAAATTTCACCATTTTCATTAAACATATCCTTAATAAAACATATACCCTCTCCTATCCAGTGACTATATTCTACCCATTTGCCAGAGATATTAGAGTTGTACCATGATAATTGAATCTTTACATCAGAAATATTTGTTATCTTATCATAGCATTTGGATAGATACAAACCCCATGCTGATACATCATCCCTCCCAAAAATATGTGTAATGTATGGCACTATAGTAGTGTTCATATACAAATAATCCGACAACCAGATAGTATTTATTCCTGAGATGAAAATACCAGCATGTTTGGCCCAATATGACTTACTATACAGTCTTTTTATCCATGATAGCTTTTGTGATAATATAGTTAATTTAAAACCAGGTACCTTAATCAATATGTAGGTGGTTGTGTCATAACACTTCTTTTGTACATAATTATCACACTGCTAGTGTAACAGGCTCAGAACGTATATTCATAAAATCTTTATACAATGGTTACACACTACACTAAAATTTGTTTTCCAGAAAGTTCCAAGCAACATTAAATGCCTATGCTACTCTTGTGTAGAATGTATTTTGCCTCATCTACAGATTGTTTCTCTGATTGTTGGTAAGACATCAACTTTTTACTTTCTATTTAACAGGTAATCTTCCACAAGATGTTGTACAATAACCATGTCCCCTCCTTGTCGTGCACAATTTAGCACACACTATGACCAAATGCATCAAGCAGAGTGAGGTCAGCACCCTTTGATTCCAGGAGATCAAACACACTTTTGTGTCCTTTGAGAGCTGCAGCCATGATTAGTGTCCTTCCCATTTTGCCCTTAAAGGTTAATATCAGAATTGGACACCAGATGATCAACCAAAGCTGTGTTGCCTCCCTGACAGGCAAGGTGAAGTACACTATCACCAAATGTATCAAGCATAGAGAGGTCTGCCCCCTTTGATTCCAGGAAGTCAAACACACTTTTGTGTCCATTGAAAGCCGCAACCATGATTGGTGTCCTTCCATTACCGCCTTTGAGGTTGATATTAGAATCTGACACCAGATGATCAACCAAAGCTGTGTTTCCTCCCTCACAGGCAAGGTGAAGTACACTATCACCAAATGTATCAAGCATAGAGAGGTCTGCCCCCTTTGATTCTAGGAAGTCAAACACACTTTTGTGTCCATAGAAAGCTGCAGCCATGATTGGTGTCCTTCCTTCATCGCCTTTGAGGTTGATATTAGAATCTGAAAACAGATGTTCAACCAAAGCCGTGTTTCCTCCCTGACAGGCAAGGTGAAGTACACTATCACCAGATGTATCAAGCATAGAGATGTCTGGCCCCTTTGATTCGAGGAAGTCAAACACACTTTTGTGTCCATCGAAAGCTGCAGCCATGATTGGTGTCCTTCCATCATCGCCTTTGAGGTTTATATTAGAATCTGCAAACAGATGTTCAACCAAAGCCATGTTTCCTCCCTCACAGGCAAGGTGAAGTACACTATTGCCACATGTATCAAGCATAGAGAGGTCTGCCCCCTTTGATTCCAGGAAGGCAAACACGCTTCTGTGTCCTTTGAGAGCTGCAGCCATGATTGGTGTCCTTTCCATTTTGCCTTTGAGGTTAATATCAGAATTGGACCAGATGATCAACCAAAGCTGTGTTGCCTCCCTCACAGGCAAGATGAAGTACACTATCACCAAATGTATCAAGCATAGAGAGGTCTGCCCCCTTTGATTCAAGGAGGTCAAACACGCTTTTGTGTCCTTTGAGAGCTGCAGCCATGATTGGTGTCCTTCCCATTTTGCCTTTGAGGTTAATATCAGAATTGGACACCAGATGATCAACCAAAGCCGTGTTGCCTCCCTGACAGGCAAGGTGAAGTACACTATCACCAAATGTATCAAGCAGAGTGAGGTCTGCCCCCTTTGATTCCAGGAAGTCAAACAGGCTTTTGTGTCCACTAAAGGCTGCAGCCATGATTGTGTCCTTCCCATTTTGCCCTTAAAGGTTAATATCAGAATTGGACACCAGATGATCAACCAAAGCTGTGTTGCCTCCCTGACAGGCAAGGTGAAGTACACTATCACCAAATGTATCAAGCATAGAGAGGTCTGTCCCCTTTGATTCCAGGAGATCAAACACACTTTTGTGTCCATTGAAAGCCGCAACCATGATTGGTGTCCTTCCATTACCGCCTTTGAGGTTGATATTAGAATCTGACACCAGATGATCAGCCAAAGCTGTGTTTCCTCCCTCACAGGCAAGGTGAAGTACACTATCACCAAATGTATCAAGCATAGAGAGGTCTGCCCCCTTTGATTCTAGGAAGTCAAACACACTTTTGTGTCCATAGAAAGCTGCAGCCATGATTGGTGTCCTTCCTTCATCGCCTTTGAGGTTGATATTAGAATCTGAAAACAGATGTTCAACCAAAGCCGTGTTTCCTCCCTGACAGGCAAGGTGAAGTACACTATCACCAAATGTATCAAGCATAGAGATGTCTGGCCCCTTTGATTCTAGGAAGTCAAACACACTTTTCTGTCCATAGAAAGCTGCAGCCATGATTGGTGTCCTTCCTTCATCGCCTTTGAGGTTGATATTAGAATCTGAAAACAGATGTTCAACCAAAGTCGTGTTTCCTCCCTGACAGGCAAGGTGAAGTACACTATCACCAAATGTATCAAGCATAGAGAGGTCTGCCCCCTTTGATTCGAGGAAGTCAAACACACTTTTGTGTCCATCGAAAGCTGCAGCCATGATTGGTGTCCTTCCATTATCGCCTTTGAGGTTGATATTAGAATCTGACACCAGATGTTCAACCAAAGCCATGTTTCCTCCCTCACAGGCAAGGTGAAGTACACTATTGCCACATGTATCAAGCATAGAGAGGTCTGCCCCCTTTGATTCCAGGAAGGCAAACACGCTTCTGTGTCCTTTGAGAGCTGCAGCCATGATTGGTGTCCTTTCCATTTTGCCTTTGAGGTTAATATCAGAATTGGACCAGATGATCAACCAAAGCTGTGTTGCCTCCCTCACAGGCAAGATGAAGTACACTATCACCAAATGTATCAAGCATAGAGAGGTCTGCCCCCTTTGATTCAAGGAGGTCAAACACGCTTTTGTGTCCTTTGAGAGCTGCAGCCATGATTGGTGTCCTTCCCATTTTGCCTTTGAGGTTAATATCAGAATTGGACACCAGATGATCAACCAAAGCCGTGTTGCCTCCCTCACAGGCAAGGTGAAGTACACTATCACCAAATGTATCAAGCAGAGTGAGGTCTGCCCCCTTTGATTCCAGGAAGTCAAACAGGCTTTTGTGTCCACTAAAGGCTGCAGCCATGATTGTGTCCTTCCCATTTTGCCCTTAAAGGTTAATATCAGAATTGGACACCAGATGATCAACCAAAGCTGTGTTGCCTCCCTGACAGGCAAGGTGAAGTACACTATCACCAAATGTATCAAGCATAGAGAGGTCTGTCCCCTTTGATTCCAGGAGATCAAACACACTTTTGTGTCCATTGAAAGCCGCAACCATGATTGGTGTCCTTCCATTACCGCCTTTGAGGTTGATATTAGAATCTGACACCAGATGATCAACCAAAGCCATGTTTCCTCCCTCACAGGCAAGGTGAAGTACACTATCACCAAATGTATCAAGCATAGAGATGTCTGGCCCCTTTGATTCGAGGAAGTCAAACACACTTTTGTGTCCATAGAAAGCTGCAGCCATGATTGGTGTCCTTCCTTCATCGCCTTTGAGGTTGATATTAGAATCTGAAAACAGATGTTCAACCAAAGCCGTGTTTCCTCCCTGACAGGCAAGGTGAAGTACACTATCACCAGATGTATCAAGCATAGAGATGTCTGGCCCCTTTGATTCGAGGAAGTCAAACACACTTTTGTGTCCATCGAAAGCTGCAGCCATTATTGGTGTCCTTCCATCATCGCCTTTGAGGTTGATATTAGAATCTGCAAACAGATGTTCAACCAAAGCCATGTTTCCTCCCTCACAGGCAAGGTGAAGTACACTATCACCAAATGTATCAAGCATAGAGAGGTCTGCCCCCTTTGATTCGAGGAAGTCAAACACACTTTTGTGTCCATCGAAAGCTGCAGCCATGATTGGTGTCCTTCCATTATCGCCTTTGAGGTTTATATTAGAATCTGAAAACAGATGTTCAACCAAAGCTGTGTTTCCTCCCTGACAGGCAAGGTGAAGTACACTATCACCAAATGTATCAAGCATAGAGAGGTCTGCGCCCTTTGATTCGAGGAAGTCAAACACGCTTTTGTGTCCTTTGGGAGCTGCAGCCATGATTGGTGTCCTTCCCATTTTGCCTTTGAGGTTAATATCAGAATTGGACACCAGATGATCAACCAAAGCTGTGTTGCCTCCCTCACAGGCAAGGTGAAGTACACTATCACCAAATGTATCAAGCAGAGAGAGGTCTGCCCCCTTTGATTCAAGGAAGTCAAACAGGCTTTTGTGTCCTTAGGGAGCTGCAGCCATGATTGGTGGCCTTCCCATTTTGCCTTTGAGGTTAATATCAGAATTGGACACCAGATGATCAACCAAAGCCGTGTTGCCTCCCTGACAGGCAAGGTGAAGTACACTATCACCAAATGTATCAAGCATAGAGAGGTCTGCCCCCTTTGATTCAAGGAAGTCAAACAGGCTTTTGTGTCCACTAAAGGCTGCAGCCATGATTGGTGTCCTTCCCATTTTGCCCTTAAAGGTTAATATCAGAATTGGACACCAGATGATCAACCAAAGCTGTGTTTCCTCCCTGACAGGCAAAGTGAAGTACACCATCACCAGATGTATCAAGCATAGAGAGGTCTGCCCCCTTTGATTCCAGGAGATCAAACACACTTTTGTGTCCATTGAAAGCCGCAACCATGATTGGTGTCCTTCCATTACGGCCTTTGAGGTTTATATTAGAATCTGCAAACAGATGTTCAACCAAAGCCATGTTTCCTCCCTCACAGGCAAGGTGAAGTACACTATCACCAAATGTATCAAGCATAGAGAGGTCTGCCCCCTTTGATTCGAGGAAGTCAAACACACTTTTGTGTCCATAGAAAGCTGCAGCCATGATTGGTGTCCTTCCTTCATCGCCTTTGAGGTTGATATTAGAATCTGAAAACAGATGTTCAACCAAAGCCGTGTTTCCTCCCTGACAGGCAAGGTGAAGTAAACTATCACCAGATGTATCAAGCATAGAGATGTCTGCCCCCTTTGATTTGAGGAAGTCAAACACACTTTTGTGTCCATGGAAAGCTGCAGCCATGATTGGTGTCCTTCCTTCATCGCCTTTGAGGTTGATATTAGAATCTGAAAACAGATGTTCAACCAAAGCCGTGTTTCCTCCCTGACAGGCAAGGTGAAGTACACTATCACCAAATGTATCAAGCATAGAGAGGTCTGCCCCCTTTGATTCGAGGAAGTCAAACACACTTTTGTGTCCATAGAAAGCTGCAGCCATGATTGGTGTCCTTCCATTACGGCCTTTGAGGTTTATATTAGAATCTGCAAACAGATGTTCAACCAAAGCCATGTTTCCTCCCTCACAGGCAAGGTGAAGTACACTATCACCAAATGTATCAAGCATATAGAGGTCTGCCCCCTTTGATTCGAGGAAGTCAAACACACTTTTGTCTCCATAGAAAGCTGCAGCCATTATTGGTGTCCTTCCATCATCGCCTTTGAGGTTTATATTAGAATCTGCAAACAGATGTTCAACCAAAGCCATGTTTCCTCCCTTACAGGCAAGGTGAAGTACACTATCACCAAATGTATCAAGCATAGAGAGGTCTGCACCCTTTGATTCGAGGAAGTCAAACACACTTTTGTGTCCATCGAAAGCTGCAGCCATGATTGGTGTCCTTCCATTATCGCCTTTGAGGTTGATATTAGAATCTGACACCAGATGTTCAACCAAAGCCATGTTTCCTCCCTCACAGGCAAGGTGAAGTACACTATTGCCACATGTATCAAGCATAGAGAGGTCTGCCCCCTTTGATTCCAGGAAGGCAAACACGCTTCTGTGTCCTTTGAGAGCTGCAGCCATGATTGGTGTCCTTTGCATTTTGCCTTTGAGGTTAATATCAGAATTGGACACCAGATGTTCAACCAAAGCCGTGTTGCCTCCCTCACAGGCAAGGTGAAGTACACTATCACCAAATGTATCAAGCATAGAGAGATCTGCCCCCTTTGATTCAAGGAAGTCAAACAGGCTTTTGTGTCCTTTGGGAGCTGCAGCCATGATTGGTGTCCTTCCCATTTTGCCTTTGAGGTTAATATCAGAATTGGACACCAGATGATCAACCAAAGCTGTGTTGCTTCCCTCACAGGCAAGGTGAAGTACACTATCACCAAATGTATCAAGCATAGAGAGGTCTGCCCCCTTTGATTCTAGGAAGTCAAACACACTTTTGTGTCCATAGAAAGCTGCAACCATTATTGGTGTCCTTCCTTCATCGCCTTTGAGGTTTATATTAGAATCTGAAAACAGATGTTCAACCAAAGCTGTGTTTCCTCCCTGACAGGCAAGGTGAAGTACACTATCACCAAATGTATCAAGCATAGAGAGGTCTGCGCCCTTTGATTCGAGGAAGTCAAACACGCTTTTGTGTCCTTTGGGAGCTGCAGCCATGATTGGTGTCCTTCCCATTTTGCCTTTGAGGTTAATATCAGAATTGGACACCAGATGATCAACCAAAGCTGTGTTGCCTCCCTCACAGGCAAGGTGAAGTACACTATCACCAAATGTATCAAGCATAGAGAGGTCTGCACCCTTTGATTCTAGGAAGTCAAACACACTTTTGTGTCCATTGAAAGCTGCAGCCATGATTGGTGTCCTTCCATTACGGCCTTTGAGGTTTATATTAGAATCTGCAAACAGATGTTCAACCAAAGCCATGTTTCCTCCCTCACAGGCAAGGTGAAGTACACTATCACCAAATGTATCAAGCATAGAGAGGTCTGCGCCCTTTGATTCGAGGAAGTCAAACACGCTTTTGTGTCCTTTGGGAGCTGCAGCCATGATTGGTGTCCTTCCATTACGGCCTTTGAGGTTTATATTAGAATCTGCAAACATATGTTCAACCAAAGCCATGTTTCCTCCCTCACAGGCAAGGTGAAGTACACTATCACCAAATGCATCAAGCATAGAGAGGTCTGCCCCCTTTGATTCGAGGAAGTCAAACACACTTTTGTGTCCATCGAAAGCTGCAGCCATGATTGGTGTCCTTCCATTATCGCCTTTGAGGTTGATATTAGAATCTGACACCAGATGTTCAACCAAAGCCATGTTTCCTCCCTCACAGGCAAGGTGAAGTACACTATCACCAAATGTATCAAGCAGAGAGAGGTCTGCCCCCTTTGATTCAAGGCGGTTAAACACGCTTTTGTGTCCTTTGAGAGCTGCAGCCATGATTGGTGTCCTTCCCATTTTGCCTTTGAGGTTAATATCAGAATTGGACACCAGATGATCAACCAAAGCCGTGTTGCCTCCCTGACAGGCAAGGTGAAGTAAACTATCACCAAATGTATCAAGCATAGAGAGGTCTGCCCCCTTTGATTCAAGGAGGTCAAACACGCTTTTGTGTCCTTTGAGAGCTGCAGCCATGATTGGTGTCCTTCCCATTTTGCCTTTGAGGTTAATATCAGAATTGGACACCAGATGATCAACCAAAGCCGTGTTGCCTCCCTGACAGGCAAGGTGAAGTACACTATCACCAAATGTATCAAGCAGAGTGAGGTCTGCCCCCTTTGATTCCAGGAGGTCAAACAGGCTTTTGTGTCCACTAAAGGCTGCAGCCATGATTGGTGTCCTTCCTTCATCGCCTTTGAGGTTGATATTAGAATCTGATACCAGATGTTCAACCAAAGCCATGTTTCCTCCCTCACAGGCAAGGTGAAGTACACTATCACCAAATGTATCAAGCATAGACAGGTCCGCCCCGTTTGATTCGAGGTAGTCAAACACCTTTTTGTGTCCCATGAATGCTGCCAACATGATTGACGTCCAGCCATTCATGTTTCTTTTGTCAATGCTGACTGAAGGTAGCAGTTGCCTAACAATGGAAATGGTTCCTCCTTGACAAGCAAGGTGTAAAACACCATCACCATCCATGTCCTGAACATCCAAATTTGAGATCGATACCAGCTGTTTGAAACATTCCTCTGATCCTGTTTTTGCTGCAACCAGTAGAGGAGTGTAGCCATTCACATCAACCCTGTTTAAAATATCTGTATTTGACTGTGTATTTAACAGTGCCCGAAGTGTGTCTTCGTGTTGTGATTTACACACCAAATGGAAAATGTTTTGCATCCTGGAGTCAGAGGTATGGAGACTGGCTCCAGCTTTCAGCAGATACAAAAGTGTTTCAGTACTGCCATTTTCTGCTGCAGACAACAGCAGTCTGTCCAGTTTATTAGTCCAATCCTGTCCATCGGTCTTTGAGAGTAGCCATTGCAGTAACGTCACCTTGTTTGTTTGAGCACAGCCTTCCATAGCTTCTGTGATCTCGTCATCTGTGAACACTTCTCCAGTTTGAGTCTCCACATGTGTAACCAACTGTGGATTATGTCCCAGAACAGCCCAATACAAGAAACACTTTCCTTTTTCTCTTTGGTGAATCCATGCATGCTCCACTGAATCATTTGTGTTGTGTTTCGTCTCACCAATGGTCAGACTTTTAAGAAGTTGTTCAGCTAGATTGCTGTGCTTGAGGATTGGATGTGTTACTGACTTTGAAAACTTTCCTTGCTTTATAGCATTTGCAAACCGTGTGGACAGAAGATCATAATAGTCTTCGGAAATGAAAATAAAATGAAGATTATCATCAACTTTGGTTTCTTTAACAGTTTCTTGGTGTACTCGCTCATACAGAAAGACATCACTGCAGTTCTTCAAAACAAAGCTTGGGTTGATGCTATTATATACAACACATGCACATGCATCATAGATTGAAGAATGAGCAAAGGCAACAGTGTCTCCTCTTGTGAAAAATGTACCTCTGAAACTACGTGCTGCTTGACACATCCCCGAGCGTGTAGCTGTAGGTATTAGACGTATCACATTGTTGACTTTCTCATCCAACTCCTGGTCTGCATCATCACTTTCTAACTTTGTCAGTTGTAATCTGCCTTCACAAAGTAACATCAGGACAAACACTGCAGATCGATCATTCATAGCACCGATTATGTCAGTGAGTTCCCCTCTCAAATAAGACAATGGTTCTTTGAAAAGCTTTCTAGGATTGTTTGAAAAAGTACAAAGTTTACATATGAGCGGGAATCCAAATAATTTTGAAGGTATTTCCAAATCACTGTATTCGGGTAGATTACCTTTGGAACTGTCCTCTGGTATGTTCTTATGTCTCTCATATATTTCCTGTTCCTCTGCTGGGGAAAGACTGTGTAAGGTTATATTCATCACTGCTTGTTCCTCAAACAGAGGAAAACAAACAAAGTGCAGTTGTGCAAGTCCGCCATGAAAGTTGTATGACTTTGTTGTGAATATAACACGAATATCCTTTCTTTGAATTTTTCTTTCATCATCCTGCTTGTGTTTACTTTCCTCTTTCCTAACTGACTGAATTTGTTTCAGGGCCTGCTTGCAGTGTTCCAAATGGAGAAGAAGATTTTTAAGAAATGATTTGATCAGTAGAACATTAGTGGACAAGCCTACAGTACCAAACATGTCATCGATGATGAGAAATACTCTTGGAGTAGAACTGAGGCAGATGTCCAAATCAAACTTGTCAATGCTTTCCACAAACACGACCTGGTAACCTCGGTTTCTGTACTGTGAACTCAATATCAGAGCCATTGTGGTCTTCCCTTCTCCTGAGGCACCACAGATTGTCACGTAACCAAACGTTTCAAGTTTACGCTTCACCTGTCTGTAGACATCTGTTTCAACAAATGTTTTCTTGGCTTCTTTTAGAAGAAGTTCGAGAGTACCTGTGGACAAATACGACATTGTGTAAACATACATGTGTTGTGCTTATTATACTGATGTTGAAGTCGTTAACGTGGGTAATTAATGTAAACTAAAATACACATACAATTTAACCATAATCAGGCCAGAGTTGCCTACTTAAGATTGTGATGTGATGAGTGCAAAATAGCGCCGTGTAATTTATGCTCAAAAGATCATGAATATCAGTGTATGATAAGAAAAGGTTGTCAAATAGTCATTTTCTGGATCATTTATATGTTTGTAACTTATCGAAATATTTTGCTTTTTGTCTTTTACTGCTTTGTTCTGATTGCAAAACATTTTTTAACGTATTGAAATATTTTGCATTTTGCCTTTTACTACTATGTTCTGATTGCAAAACATAAGTGGTATTTGAGATACCCTTAGCACCAGAGTTATACAGATGCTTTGACAAATCCCTTTGTGCGGGGTGTTTAATATCAAAGTTAAAAATAGTCAAGCTGTATAACGACAGTCTGTAAGTAAATACTTGTGATGTGTTACAAACAACGCTGTCAAGCAAGTCGAAATGAGCACAACCATTTAACTGCCTCTTACAGAATGCATAGGATGAAGTTCTTACTCATTCAGTTTCACAGTTTCTCATGGGTTTGCCTCTATGACTTGTAATAGCATGCCGAAGGCACATATTCTACCTGAGTCCCATCTGGGTATTTTGATTGTTTTAACATTTATTTGTATAGAATTTTCATTGAAAGTTTGCAAATGTGTAATCAAGGCTTGGCTTGGTCTGCTATTGACTCACCATCTCCGACCGTCCCGGGAACTGTCTGTCCAGTGGAAATATTCACGTACTTCGAGTTGGAAACTATGAAAGCGGAGGCAGAACCACCTGGCAACAAATCCATGCTAATGTTCAACAACAAGCTTCATTGATACAGTATAAAGAGAGCTGCAGTTGTTTTTACTAGTATTTGAGTGTATGATTCAAACTGGACCACGTTAATGTCAGTCTCTTCCTGTAAGTCACTGGTACAAATCAATAACCAAGAGCAGCAAGATGCCATGTAGAGTCTGCTCATTGATCAGGCCAAATGTCTCTGTATAAATGTCTCTGACACCACCAATGAATACCCACTGTTTTATGTTCCATTCAGTTTGCAGAATGTGTTAACCTTATATGACAAGGTAAACAAAGATTTATATATGTGCCCTTTAAATATTGTACGATTACTGACAGTTTGATACCAAGCAACGTGTTAAGTCATAGTGGGCTCCATTTTGCATTTACTAATTATTGGGATTTGCAATACGTATGTGTTCCATATCATGTAATCTGGAATATCTGTAGCTCTCTAACGAAGGTTTCTTTGAACTGAGTGGGTTACGTTTCACGCTGCACTCAGCAATATTCTATCTATATGACGGTGGTCTGTAAATAATCCAGCCTGGACCAGACAATCCAGTGATTAACAGCATGAGCATCGATCGACGTAATCGGAATACAATGGCATGTGTCAACCAAGTCAGCGAGTCTGACCACCCGATCCCGTTAGTAGCCTCATACGACAAGCATGTTTTCTGGAGATCAATTCTAACCCAGGTTTTCACGGGTGTTCTTCGAAAGTAGTAGTATATAGAATGGGGATTCCGTGACAGGCCGATTAAGAGCGTCATTATATATCTATTCCGCTTCCAGCCCCAGTATTCATTAACAATTTCGAGCAGAGACACCATTCGATGCACATCCCAGACCCCTATAGGAGCCTTAAAATCTGTAGGGTACCATGAGTTTCGGCAACCAGGGGCGGGAACGAGGACGAATCAACAGCCTGCAATATGTCCCCAAAGACTACAAGCCGTAGACGGTGCAGGATCCTAAGCAGCCACCAGTTCTCCGGTCATAGAATGGGGATTCTTATTATATGCCAATCCCACTCACAAGTATAAATTAACAATTTCGAGCAGAGACACCATTCGCTGCCCAACCCATGCACCTCTACGATTTCAAGCAGAGACACCATTCGATGTACAACCCAGACCCCCGGCATGCACCTCTACGATTTCGAGCAGAGACACAATTCGATGTAGATCCCATGCACCTCTATGATTTCGAGCAGAGACACAATTCGATGTACACCACACGAGCCGACATCACCGCAGGTTTCTCCACATGAGCCTCCCCAAG